GAAAACACACTTTGGATACGTTAGCAATTGTTTGCAGCACAATATTCCAATCGCGACTCACCAAATCAGTAATAATAGTGCTAACCACGCGAGCACCAGTCAGAGGCAGGCTGCAGTCCTGCACGATCTTCGAAGAGCCATCCTTGGCAACATGCTCTGTCGCGACAACGATCTTGGTGTTATCCGGGTTGGAAACCAAGTCCATGGCACCGCCCATACCCTTGAACACCTTTCCGGGGATCATGTAGTTGGCCAAGTCACCAATGGCGCTGACCTGCAGCGCTCCGAGAATAGAGACATCCACGTGGCCGCCGCGGATCATGCCGAAAGACTCGGCGCTGTCAAAGGTTGAGGCTCCGGGCACGAGGGTGACGGTCTCCTTGCCAGCATTGACGATATCACTTTCAATGATGTCAGCCTTAGCCCACTGTTATTCAGAATGACGCCACTTACGGGTCGACCTCGTCTTTCGTGGGGTAGGGACCCATGCCGAGAATACCGTTCTCAGACTGGATCCAGACCTTGCGCTCGGCAGGCAGGAAAGAGGGAGCGAGAGTGGGAATGCCTGCGATTGTCAGCGACACCTTTCATGGTTCGGCGTGCAGGCTAACTTACCAACACCGAGGTTGACGTAGAAACCCTCCTTCAGCTCCTTGGCCGCTCGCCTAGCGATACGGTTGCGGCGTTCCTGAGCCTCGTTCTTGGCCTTGGACAGGTTCTCGCCCTCGCCATCCTCGGCTCTCAGTTTCAGGATCTCAATGTTCTTCTCGGCGGTCGCGGGGACGATTCGGTCGACGAAAATACCGGGGAGGTCGACGTCGTTGGCATCGATCTCACCAGCTTCAACGATGTGCTCTGCTTCGACGATAGTGACGGTCGCGGCCTTTGCCATGATGGGGCCAAACGCCTTGGTGGTGTATCTGCAGGTTGCTTAGGTTAGCTCTAGTTTTATCTGGTTGAATTCACAAAGCCTACCTGAAGACGCAGTTTCCAGCCGTGTCGGCCTTCCATGCCCTCAAAATGGCGACATCTCCGGTCAAAGCAGTCTCCATGAGGTAAGTCTTGCCATTGAATTCCCTTGTCTCTCTCGTCCTGCCACGTTCCGTAACGGCGCCTGACGCATCAAGTCTAACGGGGATGTCACCAGTCTGGACCAACGAGTCTAGAAGAGTCAGCCATATGACCAAACAGGCGTCGGCGATCTACCTACGTGCACCAGTGGGCGTGAAGAACGCGGGAATGCCAGCACCACCAGCACGGATTCTCTCAGCGAGGGTGCCCTGGGGACACAGCTCGATGCCAATCTTTCCTGTCAAGTATGCCTTCTCAAGAGCCTTGTTGGCTCCAAGAAATGAGAGAATGAGGTTGTTGACTTGACCAGACTTTGTGAGGATAGCCAAGCCACCCTTTCCCTCAATTCCGGCATTATTCGAGACTGCTGTCAAAGAGTGAAGGTTCTCGGGTCCCCTGCGGTTCAGCGCGGCAATCAGAGTGTCTTCGATTCGTGTCAGTGATGGCCAACAGTCGCTTCATTGCGCTCGCACTCACCAGCAACACCGCACAGTCCGAAGCCAGAACTGAGAATCGTTGATCCGCTCTTGATGTCCGCGACAGCTTCGTCCGCGGAAGCATAGAGCTTCGACCCGCCTCTCTTGACACTCGGCGCCTTCGCAGATCTTCGAACTGATGTTGTCGTAAGAGCTCGACAGCTCACGGCTCCAATAGCCTTTGCGCGGGGGAAGCGCTGAGGTTGCGCGCAGATAGATGGTACCGCAGAGAGAGCGGCCGTGGCGCGGATAACCACCCTTGGGCGCAATTGGCGTGTAAGTGAAGGCATTTTGAAGCTGTTTTTCTTTACTCGACGAAATCTCAAACCTGAGACACTGAGACACCAGCTGCAAGAACGACAGATAAGAAAAGATCCAGGTCCGATTGTCGGTAGCATTTCTGGGTTCGGGTTAGGTGGGCGCGACCTCATCTTTTTGACGAGCTCCTGGGCGGAGCCGATCGGGCGTTCTTCTGCACGCCGACGCCATCCCGTCTCCAACTTCGCGCTGACCGGGGGTTCGGCATGAGGGGGAGGGCCCGAGGAGCGCTGACGTCTGCAGAGCGGGGTTATCCCCGGCATTTGTTGGGGTTCTCGGCAGCCAGAAGTAGGCTCCGGGTCAGCGAGTCAAACAAAGCCGCTTTCATTGGCGCGATACGGCTAACGGCTAGCTTGACCTACCTTCCTAGATGGATAATCTGGGGATAGTAAGGAAGGGTTGGGGATGGTAAGCATAGTTCGCGTTCCCGTAGGGTACGTCCGCCCCCGCAGATTTGGGGTCTGGGGAAGATGGACTTCAAAAACGGGGGAGGGTCCCCAAGACTTTCCAAGCCTTGTCTATGCTTGGCACATTGTTGAGGTTCTCGTCGTTCTTGTTTCTCACTTGGTCGTTTGTTCTGAGTGCGATACCCTCTTGTGTCCTGGTTTAAAGTCTTTGCCATTTTCATACTGTTTACCAACAAGATGACTCGTAACTCCAAGGAGTACGACATGGACCCGAAGGTCGAGCACACCGAAAGCCAGGTGGCTGCTGACGCGGAGCGTCAAGCCCATCTGACGAGGACCTTGCTCTTCAAAGTCGATACAAGGCAAGCGGGACTCTATCAACGAATCTTGATGGGATGAACATCAACTAACAAACTTGTGTTTACCAGGGTCCTGCCTCTTCTGGCCTTGCTGTTCCTGTGCTCCTTTCTCGATCGAACCAACGTCGGCAACGCGAAGATCATTGGTCTCGAAGAGGACCTTGGCATCAATAACACCCAATACAACCAAGGCTTGGCTGTCTTCTACGCGACTTACATTGCCAGGCATGTTATTTCTGTCGTCCAAAGTCACTCCGACTTTGTGAATGGACGCCCTGTCTCCACGTACCAACCGCTAATGCATGCCTAGCGAACTGCCAAGCAATCTCGTCCTGAAGAAGGTCTCGCCAAGAATTTGGCTTCCATTCCTGACCATCGCATGGGGTATTGTTACCATGTGCCTCGGTTTCGTTCGTAGTTACGGAAGTTTTGTCGCCGTTCGTGCCGTTCTCGGGATGTGTGAAGGAGGACTGCTACCTGGAATGGTTCTGTACCTGTCCGGTCTTTACACCCGTGGAGAACTCGCTCTTAGAATCGGCATTTTCTACACCGCAGCGTCTTTGTCGGGTCAGTCATTTTTGCCTACGCATCGAGTTCTTCAGGAGCCCACTAACACATTGGCGCAGGCGCATTTGGCGGTCTTCTTGCAAGAGGACTTTCTGCCATCGGCCCGAGTGGAAATCTTGAGGGTTGGAGATGGATATTCATCATCGAAGGCCTCATCGTGAGTTTTCCTGTACATACGATAACAATTAAGCTTTACTAACATTGGATGAAGACAGTTGTGTGTGGAACCATCGCCGCTTTCGGTCTGCCGAACAACCTCGCAACTGCAAAGATTCTTACGCCCGAAGAGCGAGAATGGGCCTTGGTCAGACTTCAAGGCCACGCCGGGGACAGGTTCAAGTAATAAAAGCTGCTTCTCAACTATTTCCAATGGTTGCTGACAAACTTCTTAGTCTGGCCAGTGAGCGAGAGGAGAGGTTTCGATGGTCGGAAGTTGGTCGCGGCGTTCTGAACCTTCAAGTCTGGTTGAGTTCGACTGCTTACTTCGCAATCCTTTCAGGCCTGTACTCTTTTGGCCTCTTCGTAAGTCTTGTCGCTTGAACTTCTCAGGGGTGATCAACACGTGTTGACGGGCTTGAACATAGCTCCCTACCATCATCAATGACCTCCACATCGCCTCAAACGCCAACCAGTCTCAGCTGTGGTCCGTTATCCCCTACGCTGTTGCTACTCCCGTAACAGGTAAGTTCTAATTTCATAGCGGTCGTGTTGGAGCTTCTCTAACTTGGTTTGAAGTTCTTGTTGCGTTCTTGTCGGATCGTCTACGGGTGCGCGGCCCGCTCATGCTCGCCGTCCTGCCGATTTCGATCATTGGCTACGCCGTCATCGGCAACGTGACTGCGCCCCAAACAAGATTTGCAATGACTTGTCTCATGGCCATTGGAATGTACAGTGCAGTCCCGTGCGTTCTGAGTTGGAACTCGAACAACTCGGCCGGGCACTACAAGCGGGCAACTACGTCGGCTTTGCAGTTGGCAATCGCGAACTGCGGAGGCTTTGTTGCGAGTAAGTCCCCACCGTCCCCTGACTTCAAGTTTGTGCTAATGTCTGGAAAAGCCTTCATCTATCCCAGTACCCAAGGCCCATACTATCACAAGGGTCACACCATCATCTTGGGACTACTTTGCTATGCTTGGGCTGCGTAGGTCTTCCTCGATCCAATCCTTAGGTTCCCATACTGACAACCTTTGCAGCACACTGTTGAATGTTCTTTGGTGTTCCAAGATTAACCGCGACAAGGCTGCGGGCAAGTACGACCAGTTCATCGGCACGGGCGACGATAGAGAGCCTGAGTTCAAGATGGTCCTGTAAACTCTCATCGGCATCACATAAGGGAGTCAATATTCTGGGGATATATAGAGTTTTACAGGCTCAATACTTAAAGGCCTATGGTATAATGATCACGAAATTATTACGGCCTCAGCCTTTCCTTTGTGCCATGACCTAGACGGAGTTTTCCTATTGTTTTGCTCAACCAACACGGACTTTGATTGTCATATTCAACATATACACGGCCACTTCCTCTTCTCATCTAGATAGATCCTCTTTTTGACATAAAAAATAGACTTACCGAGCAGCTTTGGGCCTCGAGAGACCTGAGGTAAAGTGTGGCCTCACCATTAGGCATTTCTGTGTCATCTGAACTGTATGCATTATTCTCATAGCATGATTGGCCGAAGATGCTGATAGATGGGATGTCAACTTCACTCTGAGGCTCTGCATAGACATTCAATAACATGATTCTAGGCGCATTTTGGGTCTGTAGCCCCCGCTGATTATTTTACAATGGTTTATCATCTTCTTTACAACTTGGACTGACAGGCTGGAGCAAAGTTTGAGCCTCCGATGGCCTCCGTAATGCTGTCGACCGACTTCAGAATCCACTCGCTGCCCTCGTCGCTCGCCAGCCATTGCGCGCCCTCGATGTCCTCCTGGTTGTCTGCCTTGAAAGTGCCGTCCTCGAAAGCCTTTCTCAGTCCAAAGACGTGCGACAGAACTTGCGGACCGACGCCTGTTTGCGCTCTCAAGCATGAAATAGCGACAATAGAAGTCAGGACTCTGCCAGTGGTCGCAAGACCCCCTCGCTCCTTGGGATCAGACAGCAGACCCGCGTAGTGGCTGTTGAGAATGTGGACTGGCAAGTCGGGATGCGACTGCGCAAGCTTCTCGTAGAGCTTGACTTCAAACGGTGCGTATACTGAGTCCCAAAGACCCTGGCCGCGGGCTATGATCTCGCCGAGGTTGTCGGCGGTGGGTGCGCGTGTCGGCTTCGTCTCCAGTTGCGCGGTAACGTCTTTCGGGAGGCTTGCATAGAATGCATTCAGGCAGTTGATGGTGCGCGGGATGCCGTTGAAGCTGATGCACTTCAATCCGATTTCGCGGATGAACTCGGCTGTTTCGCGCTTGTCGGGGCGGCCGCTGTTCGAAGCGACGCTGTAGAGGGATTCAAGAGATTCGGGGGAGTTAAGAGTAAATGTTGTGGCGGCCTAGGATACTGAGTTAGTCTGGGATTCCTTCATGTGCATGAAACTCAATTGACAATTTCAATTGAATCCATGATGCGGTGACATACCGAGATGGCAAGCCACGGCTTTGCGCCGACGTTCTTCTCCGCGGCACCCTTTGCGATCGTCTGGTAGACTTCGCGAATATGCGACGGCGCAGCAGCCTGCCCCGGGCGCGCAAAGGGTGCGTTGATGAGAGCCTTCAGAGACGGAGAGAGCTTCGACATGGTGTTTTCTTCTTTGCGATCGTCGGTCTGTTGCGGTTTACTCGCATTCGCATCATCCATCGGGAAGGTCAGAAGGTGATTGCGGGTGGTAAAGTGGTTTTGTTTGGTTCCAGAACGGAATTGGTGGGGGAGGTTCCGCGGTCGGAAGACAAAAGATGCGCCGGCGACTCGGGGTCAGAAGTGTCTCCGATGGCGCGAGCTCCCATGTGATGTCAGCGAAGTCGGCCGTGGGTCTTTGCGACCAACATTGCGCCGAGTTGCCGAGAGGTCGCCGGGGCTACTTTTGGTTTCCGGGGGCGTCGGAGGATGGATGAGAGGCCGGCGCGTATCTTTGGGCTATGCTATCGCGTGGGATGGACTAAGACAGGGGCTGTGATGACATGGTATTGGTGCTACTTATCAAAAGAGCATATCCGCGGACCGCATTCCTAGAAATGGACGTGGAAACTGTTTGGGTCTCGATATCGCATTCTCACGATGACAGGCAACAAGCAAAAGGAGCCGTTCTGGCTGGGGTAAGTTGGCGGACTAAATGTAGCTGTGATATGACTGACTTGCGAATAGAGGCGCAGCGGCCTCAATGGCTGTTTGCTTCAGTGAGTTTCGACTTGATTGTCATCAACGCCTTGCGCTGACCGTATTATCATAGCTCACCCTCTCGATCAAACTAAATAGTGAGTTTTGCTGGATGTCTAACGCTCAACAAAAGCTGACTGGATTAGTCGCATGCAGGTGTTGAAGTCAAGGGAGTCAATGTTCCGGGCAATGTATCGCTTCGCTGCAAGAGATGGTTGGTGCCCATTGATGATGGAGAAGACTGAATCGCTGACTGGTGCCAGGAATATTCTCTCTGTGGTCCGGTCTTTCTGCATCGATCTTTCGACAAACGACATACTCGACCGCTCGATTCGGCCTTTATAACTACTTTGCGCAACAAGCAAAACAATACACGGGGAAGGAGAAGCTATCAACGGCTATGACGATAACGTGCGCCGGGTTGGCCGGTGGCATGGCTGGGCTTGTTGGCAACCCGGCCGAGGTCAGTAGCTGCGAGTACGGATGACTCGAGTTGTGTAGCTGATGAGACTGCAGGTTGTACTTGTTAGGATGTGCGCCGATGGCGCAAAGACCACTAGCGAAAGATTTGGGTATTCGAACGCCGCTGAGGGCCTCTACCGGATCGGAAGGGAAGAGGGGATCGCAACGTTTGGCAGAGGCATCTCGGCCAACGTCGTACGCAGTGTTCTTATGAGTATGTTCACGATATTTGAGCCAAATGAGTGTGTAGATTTGAGCTAACAGCATGTAGACGTGGGGCAAATCGCCACGTGAGTACGAAACGAGTGGACGACCACGACCGGTGGGCTGGCAAATACAGAGCTAACAACAGACAGATATTCAACCGCGAAACGATACCTATTGGCAAAGACAGAAATGAAGGATGATATCAAAACCCACGCCGTGGCATCACTCTTTGCCGGAACTGCAGCGACAACCATTTGCGCTCCTGCCGATGTGCTGAAGAGTAGAATCCAGAGCGCCGCCGCGAGCGGGCCTGGCGGAAGCGTGAGACTGACTCTATGTAATAGAGTGAAACATGATACTGATCGAGTCGCAGTCCTTGCTAAATATTGTGCGGACTGGTCTCCGGGAAGAGGGCCCTAGGTTCCTCATGAAGGGGTGGACACCGGCATGGCTTAGACTGACGTGAGTCGAAAGGAAGACAAGAGATGTGAAAGCATTGGCTAATCGTGTTCCTTAGGCCAAACACCGTGTTAACGTTTGTGTTCATGGAGCAGCTGAGGAAGTTGACTCAATGGCAACTTGCGGCCCCAGTAGAGACAATGAAAGCGTGATGAGCCTGTATCTCACGCGAGTGCTCGGTTCATGTTTAGAAACCAAATTCGGTTAGATTTGGCCAGCTCAGCCAGTCGAAGTTGTTCATATCGTCCCAGGACAAACCTGCGAACGAGGGGTCGAATTCATTACCGGGCTGGTTGAGGACTTCGGCAATCTGGTCGTCGGACATGGTTGAGAACTGGAGAGTCCCTGGCCATAGCTGGGACTCCATGTAAGGGGGCTGTGAGACCGGCAACCCCATTGAGTTGATGTGAGGTGATGCCGCGACAGCGGAGGACGGCGTGCTGAGTTGACTGGCGCGCCGAGGGGCTGCCTCATGGTGTATGGCAGCTTGGGGCTGACCATCCGTAGCTACGGCAGCCTGTTTTACAATGTGTCGAAGATATTTTCCGTATAAGGTAGACAAACCATTTCTGTGGTTTGTGGCTGATCCAATGCGTTCCAAAACATCTGCTGTCTCTTCGATGAGATTCCTGATACTCGGCGCTAGATTCGAGCTGCCTGTTGCATAGGCGCTCAGAGTCAGCGCAAAGCAAGCGGCAAATGAGACCATGATTGTAGTGTTATTGGGGATTGACTGCAGCTGAGCCTCTCCCTGGATGGCTGCGCGCATGACCGTCACGGCAGATGATAGGCCTGCCGTGCGGAAGAACTGTCGGACTTCCATGGGGGCCGTCGGATGATTGATGACGCCACCATAGGTCGACAGCCGGGTATGAGTAACGAGGATTTCGACATAAGGAGGCAGGCGACGCTGCGGACCAGTGCCGATGGAGAAGCCCCATTCGGTAAGCCACTGGTCGAAGAACCTCTCGATGGCACTCTGAATGGACTGCGCGATGAGCCCACCATCAGTGGATATGCCTTGCGATCCATCACACAAGGCACGGACTGTTGCGAGCAAGCCGTCGAGGTCTCGTCGGAGGACGGCCATCGATACGAGGTGACCATCCATGGGATCTGCGATACTGGACCTGTGCCACTGATCGCAGTCCTTGATAATTCGAGTAATCGGAACAGTGTAAGGGCGGCCGCGTGCTAGCGACATGCCTCTCTCAAGAACGAACAAGGCAATCCAGCAACGCTCGCGGCGCCGGAGAAGTCGTTGGCCTAGATCGGATGTGTGTTCAATCTGGCTGAAGCCATCCATTGCAAGAGCGGTGCGAGGATCGAGACATTCGCCGCGAGTCAATGCCATGTTCGAACCGGAGCCGAGAATCTCCATGGGTACCAGGAGCTTGTGAAGAGATAGGTCGATGGCGATGGTGGCGGCCATGTTGACATACCAGCACGTCTCGTCGTCGGTACTATGCTGTCCCGGGAACATCCACGGGACGTTGACCATGAATGCGAGAACGATTTCGACAGACTTGTGACGCTTGATGAGAACTCGTTGGGCAAGGGTCTTGCAGTGGTTCGAAAGTCTCTTGGACAATGCTCCGGCGGAGGGGAGGAACAGAGCAGACGCTGCCATGATGGAGGTGCAGAGGAAGGCAGATCGAGCTCGAGTGAACCCGGGCGTGTAAATCTTTGGGTCAAGACCCCAACGGGTGTGAGCAAGCTTGCTGTGAAAGCTGCGCGACGTGGTGAGTGACATCCAACGTAACACAATGGCCCTGACTTACAATACGAATAGCGATTCTGCCTCTTCTTCGGTCACAAGACCCATGGTGATTGGGTCGATGTCGTCGCCGACGTCCAGGTTGACGCGGACGGAGGTGAAGAATGACTGCATCTCTAGATCCTCTTCGGGCTGGTCAACCTGTTGCTGCTGCTGCTGCTTCTTGCGACTGACACGAGGGCCGGGCTGCTTCGGTGAAAGACCGGTGATGGGCTTCGGTGACAGCTGCAGGTTGGAGGCGCGCGCCAGCAACTGGAGCGGATTCTCGGCATCGTCGATGGCCAAGCTCTCTTCATTGTGATGGTGCAAACTCATGTAAGTGTTGCTGTCTGGAGTGTTATCCAGTTCATCATCATCGTCAGACGAGAGGTCGGGTTGTTGGTCAGGACTGTTGAAATGAGACGACCCCCGTCTTAAGTGTGAGGAGGCGGTAGTTGACCGAGCATTTCGAGAGCCCTCCAGGAGTGCCTGGAGATTGCCGATGGCCTTGTCATCTTCGGAATTCTGTTCTCCTGTTCGGGATCGTTTGATGGCCTGCTCTATCTGGTAGAGAGCTTTATCTAGACCCTTCCGCTTGCTGTTGCGTGCCGCCACTAGTCAATAAGGGGGAACACACATGGAATGACTGGATGGGTGGGGGATGGAAGGGGGGTGGTGTTTATTTTGGGGGGTGTCTCGGTCGCAATGGTGTCCATCCATCTGGATGGATAGGTAGATGGACCCGAGCGGGCGGCTGGGGGCCTTACTTCTTGATGCCTTTCTGTCTTCCGGCATGGAATGTAGGCCGTATGCACTCAGAATCGAGCTGAATGCACCTCTTGCATTTGTTCTCATGCGGTGAGTAGTCGCACTTGATCTTGCTTCGGCGGCAGACCAGACAGGCGGCCTGCTTTGGACGTTGCGATTGAGGATCCTCCATCCAGGTGAGGGGGCTTTGTGAGGAGCCGGGTGCACTACGGCGATCTCGGTGAGGGACCAGCAAACGAACGGGGCCAAGGTGAAGGGAGTGTGGGAAGCACGCGATTCACGCTTGACGGGAGACGTTTGGTGGTTTCGGTCGAGATACTTGATGATATCAATCGTTAGAGATGATATAGACACGCTGCCCCTAGAGCAGACAGCTCCGCTGTTGAAGGAAGTGTTAGAACATTGGGACCCTCGATTGACGAGATGTCGACTTAATTGACTGACGAGGCGCAGGGGGGAGAGGCTGCTCAGCTGCTGTGTGACTCGTGTGAAGCCGGAATGATTGGGGAACAGGAGTGAGGGCACGAATCAGCATTCAGCCATCGCCCCGTTTCCCGGCAGAACAGTCTTAGTCATCCTTGGAAGTCTCTTGGCATAGGACAGATTACATAACGCATTCGGTCAGTCTCCTGGCGGTCTCTGGGGGTGTTCGTTCAAGAGAGTGGAGGTGACCCAGGGGTCATAAGATGGGGAAGCTCGAAGCTTTGCTGCTGCAGTGAGACGGCGGCGGCCTGTAAGCCTCAGCAGCTTTCTCCGTCGGAGTTCTCACGCTTATTATTGAGCCTGACCGAACAAGCGAATGAACAGGAACAGTGCGGATCACGAATAGAACAGCTTCGATACTCCTACGGATAGGTACAGCTTGATTGGCCTTGAATTTACCGACGATGAACATCGACGTCAGCGGCCCTCCGTCGCAGGCATAGCAGCTAGTAGCTGAATATGCCGCCGATGCAGTAGACTCCTCTTAGGGCTGAGCTGCGCGGCCTCAGCTTCATGTAGGATTGGCCTCACTCTCTTACGACTTTTCATAAGTTATTAAGAAAACTTGTACGCCCAACATTGATGTCTGTGATCTGTCTCTTCTTTTTCCACACAAATAGTGTATTTCTACCCCATTTCCTCTTTCCGAGCCCGGTCTCGGTATTCATCGCGCGCTCGATCTTTCATCATCACCGACCGCACTTTGGCGGGTCCTGGCCAAAGTTGAGCCACATCGAATCACCGTCTGAATTTCACGAATCTAGCCAAGTCCCATCTGGCCGTCTACAACATGACAACGGCATTACCCCTAGATCATGTTGCTCTTCGGTCCGGCACGCCGGCCGAAGTTGCCCAATACCTGCGCGGTGTGCGTGCTAGCACCACCGACCCTGCGCCCATCACAACCCAGTTACATGGAGCTGTTGCGCAGGGCTCAATTCCCCATGCCGTTTTCGCCCTATGGACTCCCCTCCATCGCGATGCGAGATCTACCGTCGCCGGACTACAACAGTCCGAAAGTCTTCTCGAGAGGAAGACCGCGATCAAGGCCTTCGTCAAGGCTACGCGGTCGGCCGTGACGATGGATGAGATTTGGAATGTTGCTGGTGGCACCCCTGGCATCGCGGCACTCATGAGCAATCTCAGCACCGATGAGATCAAGGTTTTGTGCAACGGCCTCGCCAAGACTGCCTCACTGTGCGGCAGCCGTCCTGAGAGACACGCTAGATTGACTGAGCTTGTCGAACTCCTGTTAAGCCAAGAGAACCCGGATCCCCGGCCATTGCAGATGTGCTACAAGCGTATCCTGCCTGCCTGCACGACAAAGAAGGTGGCTGAGCATGAGGAAAGTCGTCTGTCGTGGTCACAGAGACAACAGGCAATTCTTCTGCGCGCTCATTCTGCACTCTATGAGACGAGGTTTCTGGACACTTTGCTTTCAGCGGAGACTGACGATGTTGACTTCAATGCTTGGAAACAGTTGGTCAATAACAACCCGGGCTTCGCTAAGGATGTTCTCTCCAAAGTCCTCGAAGCCGATGGGCCCCTGCCGATGAAGCCAGACGACTTCGTTAAACTAGCCGAGGACATCACCAAGCCTCTGCATCGTCGTCGGTCATCGACTGAGAAGAACCTGGCTTTGGAGATAGTAGAGGATCTCGTCGCGATTTTCGAGAAGCACTCTGACCTGACGGAGTATCTCAACGTCGAACCGAACGGGGTATTGCTCAATGTCGTCAAATTCTGGGAGCACGCTCGCAGTACCAGGCCGAGGATCCAGCGACACCTTGTCAAGTTGATTGGGCTGGTCTACGAATCCTACTTCAAGTCCGCCAAAAATGTCACCGACATGGTTCGATCCGTCCACCCGGCTGTTTCGTACCGACTGTTCCGACTCACGATCCAAAGCTCCACATACCATAGTTTCGATATAGAGGAGGACGCAGACGTATCCAAGGCCTTTTTCAAGAAGCTGAAGGGCCCTTGGCCTGCAGATCTGTTCACTGCATTCGCTGACGACGATGCGGACGCATCTCTCCGTTTCTTCCAAAAACTCATCTCCACCTTTCCAGAGTCCCAATTTCTCGTCTGCTCTTCGCTGTATAGATGCTCCATCGTTGAGTCTGCGCGGGAACCAGAGACCGA